TCTAAATCGTTAGCCCCAGACTAATTGATCCCATTCCATTTAATGAATGAGTCTTTCTTTCTCTATCAATTTACAAGTCCAGGGGTGGGGGCATGGCTCAGTGGTAGGATGCTTGTTTACCATCTGCAGCACTGAAAAAAATAAAGAAAATATGAAAGAATGAAAGGAAAAGAAAGGAAGATTTACAAGGCATATTTATCATATCTTAAACCGTCATAGGGTAGCCTATTTTGTTCCAGTGAGCTCTCCATTGTTGCTTAGTTTAAGTAGTGTGTAGTAATAACTTCAGAACATTTTCTTTTTGAAGATTTCCAGGAATAAAGACTCCTAGTCTTTCTTTCAATTCTGCTGTTTTTATCATGGGTCTAGAAGGAGCAATAAATTGCTTCGTCTGGAGGAACTGATCCAGCCTGGTTACTATGGACGTCTTAATCACACAGTATGAAAAGAAGGAACAAAAGCGGGCCTTCTTCCTTTTTGCAGTGCTGGGGGCTGACCCCAGGGCCTTGTGCCTTCAAGGTAAGTGCTCTAGCACTGAGTATACCCCTAGCCCTCAGCAAGTCTTTTTCAAGGCCAAATTCCATCTACAATGAAATCCAGAGAAATGCCCCTAATTCTTTCAGTGCATTGAGATCTCCCATCAAATCACTGGCAACTAGTAGGTATCTGTTCTCATTAGAGATTTAGGATTTGTTCAAAGGAGACTCAACCTATGTAAAGATGTGAGAAGACAAAAAAGAAAAGAAGGGAAGGAATCACAAGATGGCCCTCAACAATGTAAAGCAGGTCAGGAGGCCTGACAGAGGCTATGTGTGGGCTGCATCTCCAGCGGTGACAGTATTCAAAGTTTTGTGGCCACACCCTGTCTGTTGCAACTACTCAACTGTGCCACTATACCTGTACTGCAAGAGCAGCCATGATGCTATATAAAGGGCTGAGCATGGCTGGTTCTAATAAAACTTTATTCATAAAAGTCAGGTGAACAGCAGCAGTTTGCCAAATTCTAATTGTAGTATAAAAGGGAAGTCACTATAGGACCCCAAGGATATTTTTTTTCAGACTGTGGTCCAGAGAAGATTCTGGCTTTTGAGCTTCTAAAGGGCTCACACCACCATGCGTATTGTCTTTGTAAAAGGAAAGGGGGCCAAGAGCTGGAGAAGGTGGGGAGGAAGGGGAGGAAAAGGAGATGTAAAAAAGAATTCGGATGTGTTATGCACATGTACCAATTCTCCATGATGAATGTATGGACTGTAAACTACTTGTCTTATCTCGAAGCTCCGTCACCAATGCATACCCTAACATTACAGGTGTTGACTGCACTGGCACTATAAAATCTCTAGTGTCCCAAAGGAAAGGTGGACCAGAGCCCTCTTGGCCTGAGGTCTGACTCTCTTGCCATAGCCCCTTGGGTCATGAAGGAAGCTGAGTGTGACAGGCTCTGGCCTAGGCCTCCTGGGTGGGAACCATTAGGTGGTAGAGAAGCCCTGAGCCTCCTCGGAGGGAGCTGACTTGGTTTTAACTCCGGCTCAACTTTCTGGTCTGAATAGCGTGAATACATAAAAAGATTATGTCCCAGTAGCCCAGATTTCCCTTTGTATAAAAATTAGTTCCCACCACCCACCTTGGCAGTGCCTACGGAAAAGAAGACAGTCCTCAGGAGCTTGTTTGCTATCCACAGGCCTCACATCTGCCCAGAGGCCTTCCATCTGCCCTGCTGCACCGCCTCCTCTGAGGAGGCTCTTTCCATCTGCTGGGCGCAGGCAGGAGCTAGTGACACAAAGGCCCAAGAGGGGTCTGGGACCTTTCTGCGGCTGGAGGAGGTGGGCCTGCCTCAGCTACTCCTAAGGTCCAGATGCTGCCCAGATGCGGCAGATGCTCAGTGAATATCTGAGGAGCTAAATGGAGGAAGTGGTGAAGTCTGCAGCTGTCCTTCAGGATGCGGCCGCGAACCAGACACCCGGATGTGGGCGGGCAGAGGAATGAGCGTGGACACAGCGCCCTGCAGATGACGTGCATGGACCCACACAGCCTGTAGGAATCAGCGGTGATGAGACTCTTGCCCTGGCCAGCTACTCTGTCCTCTGCGGGGCACCGCACCTGGACAGCGAGGGCGCTGACATCGTCACTGACTGGGCTCTCCTAGTCCGGCGGCGGCGGAGGCTCTAGGTTTTCTCTGCTAGGCAGACCAAGGAGGAAAGAGCAGCTCAGCCCAAGGCAAAACCCTTCTGGGCAGATGTCCCCAAAAGGCCAGGCCGTTCACTACCTACCTAAAGTGGGGGCTGAGGCAAGACAAGAGGGGGTGAAATGAGCATCACAGCTTTCTGTCTTTCTCCAAGTCAGCTTCACCCACTACAGGAAAAGAAGAGTTTTCTAAATGGTTCTTTGTTTTAGACAGGGTCTCCCTACGCGGTACAGGCTGGCCTTGAGCTTACTATGTAGACTGGGCTGGCCTCGAACTTGAAGTGATCCTCCTGCCTCAGCCACCCAAGTGCTGGATCACTCAATATGTGCCACCACACTCAGTCCCTAAATGTTGAAGGGAGCTACATTCCAATGAAAACACAAAACACATCTCCACGGCAGGTAGGAACTGTTAACTGTTGGCTGTCACGGATTACTCATGACCATTCTGTTTGTCACTGAAGGGAGAGATAGCTAATGAACATGGGCAGGTGTGCTAGGCCCTAGTGTAAGTCTGTCAGACTGGGGGCAGGAATCCTCCCTTTGTGACCGCCAAGGGCAGAGGGCCCTCCTGCTGTGGAGCCCCCATGCTGCAGGTGCTAAGCCTGATGCTGGCTGCTGCTCTCAGGCCGGAAACTGAACAATTAAATGTCCTTGCAGGGGATTTCAGTTGATACTTGCAGCCTGGATTCAGCCTTCTTTTATTTAATTTCACCAACAACTCAATACTGTATAACCAGTAGGGCATGGTGGTGCACGCCTGTGATCCCAGCACTCAGGTTGCTGAGGCAGGAGGATCACCACAAGTTCAAGACCAGCCTGGGCTACATAGTAAGTTCAGGGACAGTCTGTCTCAAAATACAAAAAAAAAAAAAAAAAAAAAAATTGTATAACTACTGCTAAGCCTTTTGGGTAACATAAAGGAACAGAATGCAAACTGACCTTAGGGTGTTGTTTTGTTTTGTTTCAGTGCTGGGGATTTAACCTCAGGCCTCACACATGCTAGGCAAGTGCTCTACCACTGAGCCACATTCCCAACTGTTAGGGAAATGTTTTTAGGACACATGACAAGACTTAAATGGCACTAAAATAGCAAGAGATGTCTCAGAGCAATTTAGGATTCAGTGTGAGATGAATGCCTGAGAATACAGGCAGTCAGAGGAGAGGAGTCCCAGGGCTGGGATGGCGTAAGAAGCTTCCTAAAGGAGGCCTCACAGAACTGCCCTTAAAATGAGGACAGAAGTCCAGGTGACAACCAAGGCCAGAGGCAGAACCGAACTAGCACAAGAGTTGGCAAATTACTGCCTATGGGCCACATCTGATCTGCTATAAGGATAGATTTCACTTTTTTGTAGCAGTAGTAGCAGTAGGGTTTGAACCCAGGGCCTTTGCACCAAGCTATGAAGCTATGTTCCTAGCTCCACCACTCCCTTTTTAATTTTGAGGTAAGGTCTTGCTGAGTTGCTAAGCAGCCCAGGCTAAGGCTCAAACTTGGAACCCTTTTGCCTCGGCCACCCAGCGTGCTAGGATTATAATCATGCACACCACATTCAGCTTGATTTTACATTCTTTTTTTTTTTTGGTACTGGGGATTGAACTGGAGACCTTGTGCTTTCGAGGCAGGCAACAGAACCACTGAGCTAAATCCCCGGCCCTGATTTTACATTCTTCAATGGTAGAAAATATAAACAGTATTTCTTGACGAGTGAAAACTATGCAAAATTCAAATCTGAGTGGCCATCAATAAAGTTTTATTGCAACACACCCACAGTCATCTGTTCACAGATTGTCTATGGCTGCTTCACACTCCAGTGGGAGTGGTGGGTAGTTATGATAGAGACCACATGGCCTGAATCTTTGCCCTTGGCCCTTTAGGGGAAGTGGGCTGACTCTGGGGGGATAACACCAGAGGGACACAGGGAGGCTCTGGTGTGTGGGGAGCATCTGTAGCTATGACTGTGACAGACTAGGTGGGAAGGGGTGCTCACGGTTGAATTTAATGTCAAGCTAAAGAACATGAACTCTCTCCATAGCCAATGGGGTGAAATTAGTCCCACGTACATGGGTACAATTATATCACCTATGTGGGTATGGTACAAAACTCTAAAAGGCTCAGAAGGGTGTGCTGTAAAAAAGGAAGTCAGTCTTGTGGCCTCAGACCCCAGGCAATGCCACCTGGGCACCTACATATCCATTCTTAGGATCCCCGCAACAGAGATTCTTATACACACACACACACATACACACACACACACACACACACACACGCTTCCAGGTACATGCAATCTCTCATTTAAAACCCACAAGTGGTAGCACATTATAGAAATACTGTTCTTCAGCCTGCTTTTGCCTGTATTTCAGTTTGCCCTAGTAGGGACATTCTTCTCAACAGCTGTATAAGATAGATACATTTTTTTTCTTTTGTAGTACTGGGATGGAACCCACAGCTTGTGGATGCTAGGCAAGTACTCTACCTCTGAGCTACACCCAGCCCTTTTTATTTTGAGACAGGTTCTCACTAAATTGCCCAGAGTGGGTTCAAACTCACAATCTTCCTGCCTCAGCTTCCCAAGTAGCTGGGATCACAGGTGTGTACCACATTTATTTACCAAGTCTAAGGAAGATCAGGGCCAGAAACCCACTGGTATTGGGGGGCCTCTGTGAAGCAGAAGATTCCAGGAGAACCTGAAGGAGGAAGAGCAGTCAGGCAGTGGACAGACAGACCCAGGACCCTGGATGTGAGGGTGACTTGAACTCCTAAGCGCTCAGGGCCACCAGCTTGGGACCCTCTCCTACCACTGCTGCCCAGGGGCTCGTACCTTGGTGGGAGTGTCGGGGATGGACGAGGTGGGAGAAGCAGGAACGGTCAAGATGCACTTCTTGCCCAGGCAGCGGCCATGCAACTCGATGTCTTCATAAGGGTTCTCCTTCATGGGCGGATCTGTGGCCAAAGGCAACGGGTGAGGGGGCAGGGAAATTTTCCTTTTGGGAACACTGAGGCCAAATCTTAGCCTCTCCTGGGCTGGTCCTTGCAGAATCTCTTCTGTTTTGCTGTCCATCACCCCTCGTCTTGGTAACAGACCTTGTTTTCCTTTGGGGTAACTCCCTGTCTCCCTGATAGTCACCACAGATCAACTACTTCAGGGCTTAGCCAGCTTGGATCCCAGGTCCCTGCCCTGGTGAAGCATTCAGGGAAGGCTCACATCCCAACCAAGACAAGTGCCATGTGGCATCCTGGCCTCTAAAGCCAACAAGTGACCTCAGCAGGTCTGGCCAGGGTGAACTTGGGGATTTTGCTGGGACCTGTGGGCCACCGACTCTCCTCCAGAGAAGAGTAAAGACTCCAGGGGATAGGTGGTAGCCATCCTGGAGACCACAGACACCTGTGGGAATGGAGCTACCCTGGCTGGTAAGAAGCAGAGGGAGAGAAGGCAGTTCTGGGCTCAGGAGTCCGGAAACCCCTTTTGTTGTTTCCGTTGGGTTTTCTGTCCCTCTGAGGCAGGCGCTGCTAAGAGAAACCCATGCTGGGTGTGGTGGTGCACACCTGAAATCCCAGCATTCAGGAGGCTGAGGCAAGAGGCTCGCTGTGAGTTCAAATTCAGCCTGAGCTACATAGTGAGATCCTGTCTCAAAAAATAAACAACAACAACAACAAAAATAGAGAAATCCAGCTCTCACACCCACTTTTGCTCCTGGAAGCCCGCTGCTTGGGCAGCAGCCCAATGCCAATCCCGCAGCCCAGAAGCACGGCATAAGAGGGTAAACCCTGCCTCCAGGCCCAGCCCACCATGGACAATGCGCAGGCGTCTCTGCCGTAACCAGTCTGCCGCGCACACGAACACGTACACACATACGCACATACACAGGGGCGTCCCTCCTTCCCTCTCCGACTGAGTCCTACCTCGCCGACTAAACCGTGAAGCTGGAAGATTTCTGAACTCCCAGACACTCTCTGTGAGTTGAAGCCCCAGTTTGGCAACTGGGAGGAGTCCATAGAGCTAGGCCAAAGTTACTTTTCTTTTCTTTTTTTCTCCCTTTCTTCCTTCCTTCCCTCCTTTTTTTTTTTTTTTTTTGAGTTTTGAGGACGAGAGTCTTGCTATATAGTTAAGGCTGCCCTCAAACTCAGAAATCCTCCTGCCTCCACGTCCCAAGTACTGGGATTACAGGCGTGTCCCCCATGCCCAGCCCAAAGGTTTTTTTTGCTAAGGACACACATTCTCCTCATCTGTGACACCCTGTGAGAGTAACACTCTTGGAGTGCCCGCAGGAGCCTACTGGTCTGCAGGGCTCTCTTTCCTACAATGACCCCTGCCATTTCCGGGTCGTCTCAGAAACCA